CAAGGGTAGGCTTTAAGATGGTTTAGATCCTACCTGTCCGATCGCTACCACATTGTTCATTTAAATGGGGAGTCATCTCAATTATCACCAGTAAAATATGGAGTGGCACAAGGATCTGTCCTAGGTCCTCTGCTATTTTCAAAATACGTGTTGCCCCTTGTTAATATTATTATACGGGATTAGTTTCCACTGTTATGCTGATGATTCTCAACTACATATCTCAATGAGACCAGATGAAACTTCTAAATTATCTATGCTAACAGAGTGTGTTAAAAATGTAAACGATTGGATGACCAATAATTTTCTCCTATTAAATTCGGATAACAGAGATATTACTTATTGGACCAAAAGACACAGAATCTCTTGGATTACAATTTTCAACTAGAAGGATTTACTGTTACTTCCTCTACAGTCAAACATATGGGTGTTATATTAGATAGCAACTTGTCTTTTGAAAATCATATTTCCCATGTTACAAAAACAGCATTCTTCCATCTTAGAAACATTGCCAAGTTACGAAACATGTTACCTGTTTCTGATGCAGAAAAGCTAGTTCATGCATTCATGACCTCTAGACTGGACTATTGTAATGCACTGCTAGCTGGTTGTCCTGCATCTTCAATAAACAAGCTACAGGTAGTCCAAAATGCAGCGGCTAGAGTCCTTACCAGGTCAAGAAAATATGATCATATTACCCCAATTTCACAGTCTCTGCACTGGCTACCTATTAAGTTCTGTATCAGTTACAAAATATTATTACTTACCTATAAGTCTTCTACCACGCTACAATCCATCACACTCCCTAAGGTCGCAAGACTCTGGACTTTTGGTAGTACCTACCTAGGATAGCAAAGTCCACTAAAGGAGCTAGAGCTTTTTCGCATTTGGCTCCCAAACTCTGGAATAGCTTTCCTGATAACGTTCGGGGTTCAGACACACTCTCTCTGTTTAAATCTAGATTAAAGACACATCTCTTTGGCCAAGCATTCAAATAATGCATCTCATAATCTTGTACTGCAGTTATATCTGATCAAATGCACATTATTATTCTTTAGCTTGGGTTAAACAAATACATTTTGCTTGGTTGGAACAGCATCTAGGCTAGTTATGTCTTTCTTTGTTTCTCTGTTTCTGCCTCTCAGAGGACCTCAGATGATGGCAACCCTGAAACAACATACAGAACTACCAAATTTTGCTATAAGTTTGATTGCATCATATAATAATTGCTGTTAATAGTGTTCATCGCCTGTTTGATCATGTCTTTAATTGATTTTTCCGTACATTTCTGTCATATGTACATTAACTGACAGTCACCACTGATAAGCTACCACTAAATATTGTAGAAACTGAATTTTATGTAAAGTTGCTTTGCAACGATTTGTATGGAACGATATTCCGGACAATTTTCAAATAGAATAGCAATTGTATCGTGAAAAGTGCTATACAAATAACCTTGAATTGAATTGAATTTGTGTCCTCATAAACTACCTAAACCAGTGCAGGTTTCCATGTTTTATGGACACAATCCATAGATTCCAAAGTATAAACAGTAATAAAACCCTAACTCCTACCCCTCACAGAAAACTTTCTGCATTCAAAATACTTAATTTATTATGATTTATAAGCTGTATAAGTCCCCACGATGTCAAAAATGACTGGTATTACTATCCTTGAGGGGACTAAAGTAGGGAATACACATATACACATACAACACTTAGTTCCAGCTGTTAAACGGTTCATTTTTGATTCACTAAAAATAACCATAAGATATACTAAATAATATATAGTAAATAACAGCGTCAGAACATTTTATTACGATGATAGTATCGGTTCATGAGTGCAGGAAACTTTAACGTATAGGTTTTCGTACCTCAAAAATGTGTCCGGTTCTGAACCCTGAACCCCAACGTAAATTGCACTGCGAACAGTTAATTGTTTCCGACCATAATTTAGGGTTTCGTTTTAAAAAAGCACTTACCATTTAGTTTGAGCTTTAGTGAAAAAGCTGCCAGACGTAATGACAGGGATACAAATAGTGTAGTGTTGACCACAGCTACTTGCAGTAAACCCGACACACAGCTGTGTTTTGTTGTGAACGTTTCCATGGAGACGTGGTTACTGGGGTTACAGCCAGTATGATGTGTTGTATGGACCCTTTTCACAAGACTGTGTGAGACGACGAGTCATCAGCATCGTAACTCCTCGAAAGGTTGTAAAAATGTATATACATTTATAACACTGTATATGCTTATTGTATCACCTTTGCATCAATTACAAAAAAAAATAATAATACAAATAAACGAATGAACGCTAATGCGAGGGTGTTTCTACTGCAGCGTCTATGGGAGGGACGGTAAAGCCAGAGGTGGACAGCAGAGTTGCTTTATAATTGAACTTTAAGCTGTAATAGTTTAAATGTTTATTAATAAGCAATCTGTATTTTATAAAGTATTATGTAAACTTAAAACCACATTGTGTTCTATAGGGAAAACATATGTTTTTCAAATCTGATAACAGCATAGGGGAGAGCTGGGTGATTTGAGCCTGCCGGCCGGGAAGTTGAGCCACCCCTTTCTAGGCAACATTAAATAAAATTGATGATATGACCAGAAATATATGAAGAGTTATCCATTTTACTCACAATGTGAATGAGATATAGCCCGTGGAGTAACTGCATTTATGTTAAAAAAAAACATTTGCTGCAAAAAACATGTTTTCTGCTGTTTTTTTATTTTTATATTAATGCTTGAACTACAAATACAAAACAAAAGTGCCAAGGGTATAGGCTACACAAAAAAACATAGAAAGTACATATTAACTATACATGTATATATAAAACCAACAAATAAAATAAAATAAAATAATGAAAAAAAAGGCCTTGTTAAATCACAATAACTTAAATATACCAAATAAATACACAGTTTTTACAGCTTTTTTTGTTTGTACTCTCCTTAATGGTGCTTCTATAGATATCTAATTCCTTAAGTACCACAGAAAAAAGAGGTTTCTGATTGCTGAATTTACTACGGTGAATATGAAATTGAACAAGTATAATCAAGGGATTGATAATGTAAGCCTCATTTTCAAACTTCTTGTCATAGCTCAAAAAGCCAAATATTACATGTTCATATAGTAGAAGAACGTTGCACAACACTTTGTCATTTATAAATCTAGAAACCTCCCACCATAACCTCTTTGTATATTGACAATGCCAGAAAATATGAGGTACCGTTTCTGGGTGTAATGAACAGAATGAACAATTTACATCTTCAATAAATCTGGTTAAAAAATGCTTAGCATGGTAACATTTGTGCAGTATCTTAAATGAAATTTCTTTAATTTTATTTGTAATGAGATATTTATTAGGTAATACCCAAACTTTCCTCCAATTAATATTTCCAATAAACTTAGACCAATAGAAAATAGCACTTGGTTTACTAACAATTTTTTTTTTTTAATAATAAACGTATAGCCTTATTTTTTTGCTAGATGAAAAACAAGTTCTGCCACAGAAAGTGTCAGCAGGGTGAAGTAAAGAAGCATGTTTAGAGTATGGAATACCTCTACTTAAAGACACAATACCAGAAGAGATAGCTCCAATTACAGAGGCATATTCTTTTGGGGTTACAGGGAAATTAAAATATGAAAGAAATTAATCATAAGTCATTAAATACCCCTGAGAATTCAACAACGGTCCTACCAAAATAATCTCTTTATCAAACTAGGTTTTCATAAATATACTCTTGTGTTTATACAGAATATTACAATTATTCCAGATATGATACTGGTGTGGAGAACAACTGTGCTTGTAAATTAACTTCCAAGCCAAAAGCACTTGCCTGTGAAAAGCTGACAATTTAACAGGCAGTTTTTCAATAACTACTTCAGTCTGTGTGCATTGAATTTATTTAATACACGAGTTTCACAATTTGAGTTGAATTACTGAAATAAATGAACTTTTCCACGACATTCTAATTTATTGAGATGCACCTGTATATCATCACATTTTTATAATAGTGCTACCGGTATTACAACATTAATATTCTAACTTATTTGTAACATTTGAACTTTTGATTTAGTGCAATATTTTGGACTGCCATTAGGGACTTCCAGTGAACGGCTGTTGCATGCATAAAATGCAACCTTTTCGTTCTGACAGTGTATGATTTCTATTAACATTACAGAATAGAACATGTAGTGATGTTGCTAAAACGTCACCATTATTAATTATGTGGCCAATGAGCGATCACCCCGTTTAGGGTATATAAGTTGGTTGGTTCTGCCTCTTGCTGTGTGTCATGGTCGAAAGCCTGCCTTTTCCTTCCTGTTGTGGCCTTCCAAGGTAGGTGTTTTTTTTAGCCATTTAGCTTAGCTGTCTGGTTGGAGTGTTATTTAGTGATTTGTGTGATCTGTACCTCTTTAGTGTGTTGTTAGGCTGCTGAGATATACTGGGTGCGGTGCGTTGTTGGCTCTCAGGTAAGTTAATGATGTTTGGGAAGCTGGGGGAAATTGTGTTCAGCTTAATGAGATTTTGTGTTTCAGTGTGGTGTGCCTTCATGGCTCCCATTGATTGTGGCCTCGCAGTGTAACGTAGCCCAGGTCGTAGCACCAGTTGTTGTAGTTGTCACCTTTTAAAGAGGAGCCTTTAAAGAGGTTGTTGTTGTCATGAGCATTACACCATCGTATTAACGGGTAGGTAAATCGCTCTAATCGCTAAATAACTTCAGATGTTTTATTGTAGTTGTAATTGTGCTGTGTGTGTTTTGGAATCGGTTGCGCGGAAGCGGTAATTTGATACAGCTCATTTCCTATTCTGCATTGTTCGAGCCACGCTGCTGCTTTTGGGGATTTTAATTACGTCCATGTCTAGTATCCAAGTGGGCTTGATGTATTTTGTTTTGAGTAATTTGTAATGTGTGGTTTTTTTTTTTTTTCTTTGTGAACCCTTTTTCAAAAGTTGATTGTTTCTTTTGTTCTGAATATGGACCTTCAATTTGTGGTTTATTTTTAATGTGATGTTTTCTTTTTCTTTTGTTTGTAGGAGTGGAGTGCTTCCGGGAGCGGGTCAGGTTTTGACCGCACCACGGATATTATTTAACTCGGGGTGGCCATTTTCGTGTGTTTCACTATTGCTGTGTTACTATTTGCAGTTAATCTTGTGTGTGTGTGATACTGATTGGTGTGATTTTTCTCTTTTGCATACCTGGTGCTGTTACATTCACCCGCTTCTCATATAGGAAGACTCTTATTACAGCATTTATTATTATTTGGATGTTTTCTTTTTTTGATCTATAACATTGGTGTGTGCCAGCTGTGGGTTTTAAATTAATATCAGCCAACTATTTTAGCCTTAATAAAAGATTGTTTGTACGGAGATTCACGCCTCTTGCTCTTCATGTGGAACGTATTTGCGTGCCCTTATTTGAGTTATTTTCCCCGGTAGTCCGGGGTGGTGTAGTCACTACAACTGGGCCTCTTGCTACATATATATGGATCATATGCTTCCATATATATATATATATATATATATATATATATATATATATATATATATATATATATATATATATATATATATATATATATATATATATATATATATATATATATATATATATATATATATATATATATATATATATATATATATATATATATATGACAAATTAAGAGCTGAATTACTATTGCTTTATATTCTGAAATGTAAAATAAATATTTAATTAAATGAATATAAAACATCAATTTGTAAATGCATTGTGCAGGCATTTTTAGTGTTTTATACATAAGGTAAGAACATGAACAAAGAAACCAAGTAAAACAAACTGACAAATTAAATAAACAGTGCTGTCATTTTTCCATGAAGTTCTACTAACATTACTGTTCAGGTAAGTGTAATAGCCTACAAAAGAAATCTAAAAGTAAATGAACACTGCATAGTTTTCAGTGTATGTATTGATAGATGATTGCTTATTAAAAGCTATAACGTTATTCAGATTAAGAGCAGATTTTGATGGCCCAAGCGCCAGTCTGTCACTTGACTCGCATCGGATTTTCTCCAAACGGTTCTCCTCCACTTAAGACATAAACTGTTTAAGTAAATACTCTCCAAGCTGGCCATTTTGACATGTCTGTGTATTTGATCGATTGGACATGCGCCCGCCCCGAAGCTCAAAGTGTAATTTGCTTGTCCGTTTTGGAGCGCGTCGTGTGCACACATTTCAGCCTGAGGAACAGCGTTTCTTGTGCAGATTGTGCTTTCAACATTTTATCAAACATGTCCCGCAATTTAGCAACAGTAAAGACGGCATTTTACAATAATCACCGATTGAGCTGATTCTGACGTTAAGTTTGGGTTTTAGGGAGGAACGAATGCGCACCGCTGTGAAGGGAAAGAAGTTGCGCAAGACGAAACGCAGCTAGTTTTTAATAGCTTTACCTCATGTCTTTTGTATAATCCTTAGAAGCCAAAATCGAAATAAAAATAAAATTATCTTAAAACAGCCACAGGCCTAAAGTATAAGCAGATGTTTTAATGTTTAGTTTTCTCTCCTATCATAATTAAGGTCTTTCATGTTGGGTGTGCTGAGTCTCCTCCGCGTGGGCGCGATCTGAATTGCGAATAGCAAAAATGCATCAACCCGGGATTAGTATTGACCTCCAGTCATTTGTAATTGCGGAGATTGTCTGTAATCTTAAACCCTATTCGCACGGGATTAGTACCTGTTGACCTACATTCATTTGTAATAATTGCGGAGATTGTCTGTAATCTTAATCCCGTGTGAATCGGCCATGTCTGTAAAGTGTAAATTCCCCTGCAAATGACCTACCATATTTCGCGGAACACCGAGGTACTGTGATAAATTAGTCCCGTGTGAATCGGCATCTCTGTGATTTGGCCAGCATTTGGCGGGTCGTATGTCATTTTTCAAGGTTTTTGTTTCCTGTGCGCATTTTTTTTATTTTTTATCCATCTTTCGCAAAGAATGGAGCTGCTTTGGAGTGTTTGATAGTATTTTGGGTGCTGTCATCGCTACACCATACAATTTGCAGAAAGAGAAAGCTGAAAAGGTTTTGAGGTTAATGTTACAAATAAATCAAGCATAAAGCTTGAGATGGTATTTTAACCAGATAATACTAATCCTGTGCGAATAGGGCTATATACAAATGTTTGAAAAACAGCTGGTGACTCTGGTGAGAGAATTTGTAAGATAATGTACATATAGCAATAATAAATGTATGTGTATTGTACTAATTTCTCCATTATCGATAGCAGAACCGTTAACGTCAGAGCTTATCGATACTCCGGTCTTTCATAATTTAGCCCCGGGACCGATGAAATACCGGGTTTCGGATCACAATAATTAGGAACCACAGTTTGCAAAAATCCCTTCACTCAATTGGGATGTTCTCTTTTATTCTGGACGGCAAGGACAGTGACTAACATGAGCGGATTTTACAGTATTAAACACGTATTTATACCGATTTCATCAGGCTCCGAAATTCTTCAAAAATAACACAAAAAATAGCCTTCTCAGCTGCCATAGTTGCAACTCTTGCGTCATCAGAAGAGGGTGTTCAACGCACCACCGTTTCCGTTTAAAGGGGTCAAATGATGCTATTTTAAAGATCATTATTTGGTGTAACAGAATGTTGACATGCTTTAATGTTCAAAAAACACATTCTTTTTCAAATACAGTACATTATTGTAGGTCCTCTATGCCCCGCCTCTCTCAAACACAAAGCCCCCTCCTTTGACAAGCGCAGTCTGCTCTGATTGGCCAGCTGACCCAGTGTATTGTGATTGGCCGAACACCACAAGCACACGTCGGAAATGTAACGCCCCTTACCATAATCGTGAGCTTCATCTTTCAAAGTAAATATCAAGACAGTTAATAATGTCGTTAGTTTTACCATCAGTTCAAGCCCAAAAGGGCAACAGAGTTGCGTGACACACACAGTGATGATGCCCAACATTCCACAGGCCACAATTAACAACCTGATCAACTCTATGCGAAGGAGTTGTGTTACACTGTGTGAGGCAAATGGTGGTCACACCAGCTACTGACTGGTTTTCGGCCCCCCCAATACAGTAAAACTACACATTTTAGAGTGGCCTTTTATTGTGGCCAGCCTAAGGCACACCTGTGCAATAATCATGCTATCTAATCAGCATCTTGATATGCCACACTTGTGAGGTGGATGGATTATCTCGGCAAAGAAGTGCTCACTAACACATATTTAGACAGATTTGTGAACAATATTTGAGAGAAATAGGCCTTTTGTGTACATAGAAAAAGTCTTAGATCTTTGAGTTCAGCTCATGAAAAATTGGGGTAAAAACAAAAGTGTTGCGTTTATATTTTTGTTCAGTGTAGGTTCAAAAAACTGTTGTCCATAAAATGCGTTGCACAAATTCGAACATCTGGGTTGTGCTGTTCTGTTGTAAATAAATGTTAACCAATGATTGGACAGTAGGAGAACACTTGATGAAAAGGGATGGAGACGGTATATTAAAATGGCTAATCAGGAGAGCAATATATCGCAGTGCCAAGTGAGTTATGTTTTTGTTGTTTTGTTTTTGGAGTGCTTATTGTCTATGAACAAGAAACCAGCTTATTACTTGGGTAGCTATCTAGCTAGCTGTCTAGTTAGCAGATGAGTACTGTAATTTGTTGATTCTCATGAATTGGCCGGTTTCACAGACAAGGCTTAAATTTATGTTTAAATTTATGTATGTCTTAAAATACATGTTTGAGCTGTTTAAACTGAAATAAACTTGCTCTGACATATCTTAAAATATGTTACTGCCTTTGTTTTGTCTCAAGATTCACACCAGTAATTATTTTTTTCTAAGGCAATTTAATAAAAGCTACTTAAATATCATAATTGAACTAATGCCTAATCCTGGTTTAATCTAACCCTTGTCTGTGAAACCGGGCCTATATCTCTTAACTTTTAATCTTTTCTCGTCAGTTATGGAACATTTTGTTGCATCACTTTTCATTTATCTGTCTATCTAAGATTAATAACTTTGTTTATAGTCGCTCTGATCTGGATAAAAGAAGCCTTATCTAAAGAAATGCAAATTTTTCAATTTATTTAAAATGATTTAGGGTCATGGAGAAATCGAGTCAGCAGCAAGGAAGCACTGGTGTCGTTGCTGCTCAACTCAGTGAGCACTGACAGGCAGGCAGCAAAACCTGAGACACCAGGCCCAAGTGTGACAGTGCAGGAGGAGATGGCTAGGTTCATGCTCACACTTTGTTCTGAAGGAAACATTATGAGCTCAGTCAACATTGTGTTTAGTTTCAGCAGAGAGAATAGACTTTAGAAGTCCCACTGAAGCTTAAGCTTTACTTGAAATAAATATTTCATAACATAATTTAGTAAACAGTGTTTTAATGTTTAGAAACATGGCTATGCTATTACATTTTTCCCTGGTTTCACAGACAATGCTTAAGCTAGTCTCATACTAAAAAAAGCTTTTTCTTTGTAGAAAGTTTTTTTGATTTTTTTTAATTGCACTGAAATATCTTAAAATATGTCAGTGCCATTGTTTTGTCTCTAGATGTACACCAGTAATTTCTTTTTCTAAGGCATGTTTATAAAAGCCACATAATGCCTTAATTGAACTAAGGCCTAATCCTGGCTTAATCTAAACCATGTCTGTGAAACCGGGCCCTAGATATTAGATTGATCAGACTGTACTGTAAGAAAAGGCACACTGTTCATGTCTTGTAGCATCAC